AAATCGCCGCCGCCGCTGACGACGACGACGACGAACGGGCCATTTCTGGCTTCTCTCCGGAGTGTTTCCCTGTGCCGCGCTACCCGCGGGGACCAGCCGATGCTCCGAAGGGAAGGAAGCAGGGCAAGGAGCCATGCGACGGACCCTCGGTCTCTGTGCCCGAGCCGGGGAGACCTGCAGCAGCGGGGCTGGAGGAAAGGGCTGTGTCGGGAGGGTGATCCCCGGGCCCCCCCGCGCGTGGCTGTCCTTGCCCCTGCCCCACCGCTGGGGACTGCGGTGCAGATTAGGACAAGCCTCCGCCGTGTCCCGCTGCTCCTAAGCACTGCTGGGACACAGCCCGGCGGGGGGAGCATGCTTCGCCGCAGGTTATTAATCCTCTGAGCAGAGGCAATGACTTGCGAAGGAGCGGGATGGATCCAGCACGGCCCTTGCTGACTCCTTCCCCCAGTCAGGGGTCGGGGCACCTGCCTGGACATGCTTCTCCTTTCTGCTGGGCAGGTTTCAGGCAGCGCAGCCTCCCCTAGCAAGCTGCCCTCTGATTTTCTTTTCCCCTGCCTTCCCCTGACTCCTTCCCCACAGGCATGGCAGTGTGGGTCAAACAGCTCCAATGAGGCACACGCTCCTTTTGGCTTTCTGCTCCCCAGGGGACACGTGCCCACGGGAAGGTGCCCCGGCCTTGCTAGCGGATGCTGGGGGAGTGGTGAGCACAGACGGAGCGGTCCCCCCGGCCTGGCAGTTAAAAAGCCCAGCCTGGGCTTCCAGCTCACCCCGTCCCTCCGGCTCACGTGGGGATTTCCCCGTTGGAAGGGCTCAGGGCATGGGTCCAGCCACCTGCTGCAGGAGCCACGCTCAGCTCAGCTCCAGGCCAAGACAGCTGCTGGCGGCGGGCGGCTGCGGGAGGAGGAGGAACGGGACCTGCTGGGAATGCCTCCCGGCCAGGGGCCAGCCCTGCCACTCAAAAAAGGGCCTGTGGAGCCGGGCCACTCGTGACTCAGCCTTCACACACTGTTCTGCCAGCCCTCGCTGACCACACGTTACTGTTTAGCCACAACCCACATGAAATGCAGAAGTGGGGAGCAAAGCTTTCCACTGGCATGGCTGCAGTGCAGGGGGCTGAGCTCACTGTCAGTCTTTCCTCAGGGCAGGAACAGCTTGGAAAGCTTATTCTACCAGCCACACGCAGTCCTGCAGAGACGAGACGTGTTTGCAAACTCTCCCCCTGCAGCCACGTGCTCTGGAGCTGGATCCATCCCTCCTTTGCTGCAGAATTGCCCGTGGCTTTCAGCAGGTGTTTATCTGCACAACTCATCCCTGGATCAGCCTGAGGTTCGGGGGAAAATGTGCCCCCAAAGGCCTTGGGGGATGCAAATCACAGGGGCCAGGTCCACCCCATCTCTCGTGGGGGTCCAGAGGTGCAGCACCCTGCGGTGCAGGGGGCAGCAGCCCCGGGTCCTGCTGCAGGTGCCTCCCCTGATGCCTTGCCAATGCCCCCCCACGCTCCACCACCTGCCACGGATGTGGTTACGTTGGGGACACTTGTACGAGGAACCCAACTAGGTGGTTTTCTTTCAAGAAGAAAAGCCTGCTCCTCTGTTCTTTCAGAAATGTTAATGATCAGATCTGTTCCAACCACTGCGCGTGGAAAAAACTTGCATGTGCTAGAGGAAAAATCCAGATCAAGGGAGAGAGTGACCTGACCTGCCTGTGCCCGTGAGCCAGCAAGCTGTGGGACAGAGAGCAGGAGACCGGAGGGGAGGGGAAGCTCTGCAATGATTCACGGACTGGAAATGGCAGTGGTTTCTCAGCCCTCCCACCCTGCACCAGAGCACCGCGGAGCACAGCTGCTGAGCCCCAGGGTGGTCAGAGCAGCCCTGCACCAGCCCATGGCACAGCTCCAGGCCCAGACCCACATGGACTAGCCCAAGGAGCTCTCAGGTACACGCTAACCACCTCTGGAGCGGCAAGTCTGCTGCAAATTCTTCCTTTTACATCCTTTGGCCCCACGGCTCTGTGAAGCATCCCAAATATCCTGCTGCAGAGCAAGGCTCCTGCCGCCAAGGGAGCCTGTGATGGGGCAAAGGGAAGTTCTGGCCGCGAGGTGTGGGGATCAGGCGTGCACCCTCGCTGCGAGACCGGAGGAGCTCCGTGAAACCGGAGCCCATCGCAGGCCCCTGAGCCTGGTGGAGGAGGACGGGGAGGAGCGCAGGGCCGGGAGGTGCGAGCCCCGTTCTCTCCAAAACGCAAGACCTCCCTCTGCTGTCGGCGCACGCCGTGCCGGGCACCGCTGCAGCCGCTGCAGCCACCAGGGTGGGTTTATTCCCCTACGCTGAGGTAATGGCAGGGAACCTCATTGCCTGGGGGTACTAAAACAGCTCCCAGAAGCTCCACTGTATTATTTTTTTAAAGCCCAGTGTCTGAGTGCTAGGTAAAGACAGAACAAACGTGAGAAGAACTGGAAGACAGACCCAAGCCTGTAGCGACAACACTTATTTTCACTAAGCGCTGAGCATTTTCTGGAGTTTTGGGGAAGGAGTGGGGAAGGAAAAGGAAGTTTCCGTGGTGGTTTCAACAGTCCTTGTTTGTATCACCTGGAAAATAATGTAGTTTACCCATAAAAAATGAGCTGCTTTTGAAGAATGAAGCATGGACCAATACAACTGTGACACGAAGCTCTGCGTTAGAAAAACAAACAAAAACCCACCCCCAAAACAGGCAAATGCCCTGTTGTCATTTTTAGTGTATTTAAACCAAATAAAAGCTTTAGGACTGTGAGCACATCCCTCATTTGCTTTTCTGTGACTTAACATAGCCTTGGTATTGCGTGAGAGGTTAATCCTTCTTACGCTGCTCTTACCAGTGACCATCCAGTATAGCTGGCCAAAGGCCTTGAAGCAAATTTGCTGTGTCTTTGTTAATCAGGTGGCATGAGGACCCAGAATATACCATTAATGATCTATGATAGAGGGGATCCTTTACAAGATCTCATCCCCTGCCCCCGTGCAAGGAGACCAGGGGGATTTATTGCCATAATTCCAGATGAAGCGGTGCCTTTGTTAGACAATTAATGCTGACAACAATTTATCAGACCTATTAAGGCCAAGCTTTGACCGGAGACAGATTCATTTAAAAAAATAGCTCAGCTGCAAGCTTGTCTCCTCCCATTCTGTCCCTCTCCCCCTGCGCTAATCATCCTCCTAAGGCTGACTCCCCGTGCCAGACACGGGGAATTTCACAGGTCCGAGGTGGCCCGATTGCATTATCACCAACAATGGGCACTTGGGATTTGCTGCGGCTACAAGATCAGTTGCTGACGAGGTGAGGGCAGCTCTGGCAGAGTAATTCACTCTTCTGCAGTAACATTCCACTGGATTTAGAAGCCCAAACTAGCTTGTTCTATAATAAGGCTTTTTTTCACCACGAGTTTCTGCACACAAATGAGATGAAGCAAGGCTATACACAGAACACACACGCCTCTCACCAGAATGTCTTTTTAAATCAACCAGCAAATACCAGTAAGACAGCACAGCGTGTGTAAACACGTTTGTATTTGTTTAGTTGATGAAGTCAGCAGCATAGAGACACAAAGCTCTTCAGCAGCCAGAGTAAGTGGAAGTCTACGGCTAGGTTTATCTCCGAGCGGTTCTATGGATGCTCATCACAGCACAGAAAACAGCGCTGTGAATTCTGCTGTTACCAAGCTAGCAGGTGCCAGGACATTGCTTCTAACTTTGATTAGCGTGTGAGTAAAAGCAGAACTAGCGTGCATTTTCCAGTCAGTATTTTTGGTCTGCACCTTTTGTGACATAACTCTCAAGTAATAAATTAGAATCATAGAATCATAGAATCATAGAATCATTAAAGGTTGGAAGAA